GGTGGAATGTCTTCGACCCGAAGCATCGAAGATGGGCAGAGGACATGCTGGAGCGTGAGAACCCGTACCTTCTCACGGTGGCATGGCCTTGTGGACCCTGGTCACCATGGCAGAGGATGGCAAAAGATCAGGAGATCGTTCAGGAGAAGCGGAAGAAATGGTTGCCGATCCTAGGATGGATCAAGAAGATGGTGAGGAAGCAACAGCAGAAAGGAGGAGTGACAATGGTCGAGAACCCATGGCCGTCAGAAGCATGGAACACTCAGGAGATCATGTCACTATCTTCGCATCAGTATGGACGAAGTGAGGAGGAGCAGTTCGAGGTCTTGAGGGTAGATGCATGCGCCTTTGGACTTCGGGACTATGACTCCAAGCTGTTGCACAAGAAACCCACAGGTATTGGGACAGACTCACCAGGCATCAAGACCATGATGAGAGGAATGACCTGCAGCGGAGATCATGAACATGAGCCGCTGGAGGGTAACAATTCGAGAGGAGCGAGAACGAGGCAAGCAGCAAAGTGGACTTCGAGGATGTGCAGAAGGATCATCCGAGGAGTTCAGATCGACTTGGAGAATGCAGTTTCGACAGCATTCGCAGGAGAGGCTATGCAAGAGGCAATTGAAGAGGAGCCACATGCGCTGGATGAGATCTACGGAGAAGAGGATCTACCTTCAACTAAGCCGACAGCCAAGGAGGCAGAGGTCGATCTGGCAAGAGAGGAGACGTTGGAGGATCAAGAACGACTTGAGGAGCCAGAGGCCGAGAAGATCAGAAGGAGGATGTGGACAAAGCTGAGCAGAAAGGAGAGGATTGGCATCAGAAGGTTGCATGTCATGACAAGTCATGCAACACGACCACAAATGCAAAGGATGCTGAGGTACTCTAATGCACCAGCTAATGTGGTGTCAGCAGTGAAGTACTTCAAGTGTTCAGCTTGCGAGAGGCTTTCAGAAGGCCATCATCCCGCAGTTGTGAAAGCTCCAAATCCCTACACCTTTGCCGAGGATGTTGGATTGGACGTCTTTGAGGTCAAAGATGCTGAGGGAAACCGATACCAAGTTCTACATGCTGTATGTCATGGCACGACATTCCAAGCGGGAGAAGTGCTTGGCATTTCAGCTGGAGTTCCGAGCAGCCGCCTATGCTTGGACCTTTTCACTCGATTTTGGATGAGCTGGGCAGGAACACCGAAATCCATCACTGTGGACCGAGGCACTCACAACCGAGGAGTTTTCTTCTCAGAGCTTCAGAAGCTTGGAGTTGAGGTGAGGTCGGCAGCGACACAAGCCCCATTCCAGATCGGGAGGACAGAGAGACATGGAGGTATCCTGAAGCACATGATCAACAAGGTCGTCATGGCCACGCAGGCTACAGGACAATCAGAGATGCAGCTTGTGCTCATGCAGCGCCTGGAGACCAAGAACCGTCAGGCAAACATTGGAGGATTCTCCCCGAGCCAATGGGTACTTGGCCGGAATCCACGAGCTGGAGGATGGACAGATGAGGACGAAGAGACAGTCGTGGTTCACGATGAGGATCCGCAATCCACGTTCAACAGGAGGAACGTGATGAGAGAGGCTGCAAGGATTGCCTGGGCAGAAGAAGACAGCAGGAGGAGAGTTCAGAAAGCATTGCTGAGGAAAGGTGGCGGAGAAGCTCAACAATTCCGACAAGGAGATCTGGTTGCTTTCATGAGGAGAAAGCAAGGAGCAGTCAAGTGGTATGGACCTGGACGAGTTCTGACACAGGAGGGCAAGAATGTCTGGATCATGCATGGAGGAGTTCCAATTCTCACTTCAGAGACCATGGTGAGAGCAGCAACTTCAGAGGAATACCTCACCAAGGAGCTCATTGGCGTGACCAAGGGCAAGAAGAGAGGCAGAGGACTACTCTACGAGGATCCAGCACAACACCATCAGTTGGGATCAACTGGACAGCCGTCCTATTTGGATCTCCGGAAGGTTGAGGACGATGAGAATGCAGCAGGAGCCGCACTACCCAGAGGAGGACTTGGCAACATTGCACCTACAGAACGAGGAGGTGATGAAGATGAGTCACCGAAGAGGATGAGAGCATTGATCAGAGAAGAGGAGAAGAAACAAGAGGATGAGGCAAGATCAATGGCATCAAGGACATCACCACATGAAGTGCCTGTGCCAACAAGTCCGACTAACTGGGAGGACAACAGTCCTGGCTACAGCCCTGGAACACCCGTGGAGGAGCAAGCAACTTCATCGACGAGGACGGTGCAGACACCATCTCTACCACAACCACCAGCAGTTCTGACACCGCTGTCAAAGGCAATGGCAATTGCAGGAGGAAACCAACTTGATGTTGGAGCAAAGATGGCGAAGTCAATGAGGACGCAGAGAGAGGAGACAAAGGAAGAGAGCGCAGCAGAGAGGACCATGAACAGACCACGTTCAAGGAGTCCGCCAGAAGCTTTGAAGAAGGAGTTCACGAGCTTCATGGCGAAGAGGTACAACAAGAAAGGAGGAGACCCCAAGAGCACTGGGGAGTTGCGCTATGAGAGAGAGACCAAGGAGATGCAACGACAGTTGGACATCACCAGAGGCAAGGAATGGACCAATTGGGTCAAGTACAAAGCGACCAGAGTTCCATCCAAGAAGGAGGTGGAGCAGATGCTCATGGCTGGCATCAAGCCTGTGCCAATGCGATGGGTTGACGTGGACAAGCATGCTCGACTACGAGTTGAAGGAGGACCAGAGGTGGAGCCGAAGTTGAAGAGCAGATTGGTACTTCGAGGAGATCTGGAAGAAGGAGACTTCAGAGTCGACTGCCCGACAGCCACGGCAACTGGAACACACCTGGTCATCAGCTTCGCAGCATGCACCAGGAGACGCTTGAGAGCAGGCGACATCAGCGCCGCCTTTCTCCAAGGAAGTCCTATCAACCGAGAGCTGCTGATGAAGGTTCCCAACACAGGAATTCCTGGTCCTGACGGACAAGGATACGCAGTTGAACCTGGCAGCTATCTTGTGGCTTTGATGTCAATCTATGGGAGCAAGGATGCACCACGAGGATTCTGGATAGCTTTGAGAGATGAGATGCAGGTCCAAGGACTACGTGAGGTGGAGCCAGCACTCTATGCTCTGACAGGAGATCAGGGAGAACTACATGGACTGGCAGCAACACACGTGGACGACATCATCTGGACGGGAGATGAGACCATGGACAGTGTCATGGACAAGATCCAAGAACGTTTCACTTTTGGCAGCATCGAGGAGGAGAACTTTCGATTCTGTGGCAGGCGCATCGAGTCAAAGGATGACTACTATGAGATCACTTGCCCAGAGCTGCTTAGCAAGGTGAAGCCGATTCACATTGAGGGACGCCGAGACCGAAGTCCTGCTGACCCAGCGAGTGCAGAGGAGCAATCGCAGATGAGGGCCGTCTTGGGAAGCATCGGCTACGTCGTCAGACTTTGCAGGCCAGAGCTTTCCTACAGATGTTCGGCGCTTCAAGGGAAGCAAGCGCGACCTCAACACCAGGATCTTGTGAACACCAACAAGTTCTTGTCTGCAGCGCAGCGCACTACGGGCAATGGCTTGCGCTACGTCAAGAACAAGATCGACTTTCACAGTGCAGTGCTGCTATCTGTGACGGATGCGAGCTTTGGAGCCGAAGAACACACAGCTGAGGATGGAAGGAAGAGCGGCCATCGTTCCCAGGCCGGAAGATTTCTTCTGTTGGCAGACAGGATGCCGACACTCAGCACTCCAGCGAACGTGCATATCCTGGAGTGGCAATCACATACGATTCGCCGAGTGTGTCGCTCAACTCTGCATGCCGAGGTGATGAGCAGCATCGGAGGGAGTGAAGCAGGGCAGTATGTCCGAGCACTACTCTATAACATGACCAACCCGAAGAAGACTGGACTACGTGAGCAGCTGGACTGGAAAGTGGCAGCGAGTGACTCTCGCACAATCCACTGGCTGACAGACTGCAGGTCCTATGTGGACACTATGTCATCAACTGGTCAAGGAGTGGTAGCTGACAAGAGGCTAGCAATAGACCTCACTGCTTTGCGGCAGGATCTTTGGCGTTCTCCCGGTACAGAATGTGGAGAACCAAATGTACAGGAATCCATCCCTTTGGACTGCACGGATCAACTTTGGTGGATCAGCACCAAGGATATGATCAGCGATGGTCTCACCAAGCACATGCAATGGGACAACATCACCAAGCTGTGCCGCACAGGTCAGTTCATTCTGACATCATTGCCGAGGAGGTCCATATGTTCCGGTTCAGGATCTGTAAAGATAGACGGGTGTGAAGATGATCATGAGTCCACACCAGATCCATGAACCTCTATGTATATCCCCGTAACATATGGGCCCAATGCCAACTTACAGGCGCCTTGAGCTGAATGGAAAACATGTGCCACGTTGCGTTGTGGGTCGTTTGCGCGTCCCACATCTTCAAACCATATTTGATTACCGGCTAGGGATTGATAGGCAGTCCTGAGGCACTGACTGGGTAGATTGATGCCTCCCAAAGAGAATTGCGCCATCTACGGTGCGTGGTTAGTGTATGTGTGTGTGCGTGCATACCACTGTATGTGTGTGTGTGTGAGCCACATTTGCTTCAAAAATATGGCTGCATTGGGTTTGAAGATGGCAGCTCCACCGGCAGTAGCCCTGCCTGGTGCAAAATATGGTGAGAATCCAAAGAATAAGAAAACAATCGCTATTTACCAAAAATAGCGATGCTATTCGGGGTCGCGCCATCTGCCAAAAATAACGAATTACGGCCAGGCTGCGCCATCTACCGTCGCTATTTATTTTTATTTTTTGCGCCATCTACTTTCACAGTGGTGTAAATTTTGCCGTGTGGATCGTTACTAATCAACCAGCACTGTACTTTTTGCAACGTATTTAAGACTGGTCATGAATGCATCATTCTTGGCATATGGTTTGTTATAATACGCAAAGCCGGTTATACGACCTGACTCCTGGTCTTTGTTTTCACCTGAGGATGAGATGTTTGCCGGTACGAACCCACCCATGATGACCACCTATCGAAGGTCGGATGATGGAAACGGCTGCAAAGGAACTGAACTGCTCTTAATCATCCACCCACGAAGGATACAAGTTTTTTGAGAGGCAATGTGTTCCTATTAGACGTGGACAAAGGGTACCGTGAGGGATGCTGGATTTGTGTTGGTCGTTTTTAATTGTTTTTCTATCCCATGGTGACGAATGAACTCATCTTGAACTCTTCAAGATGACGCGCGAGAAATAGAATACCTCATGAGGCAGTACGATATGGGATGAGAACTTTGTTGATTATGTTTTTTAATGATTATCAAAATGTAGTTATGTCTATAATAATATACATTCGTATAAAATGTGTATATATATATATATATAATTCATGTATATATATATATATGTATACATGTATATGTGTGTGTGTGGGTGTAGTGGCTATTAGAGGCCAATTGTATCTATTTTTAGGTTGGTTAATGATAACTATACATTTATCGTTGGAGGGTCTCTCACACCTTGCGGAGTTCTTGGATTTGGACACGATGGCGGCTGCAAAATCCAGAATTGCTGCTGGCCAGTTGATACGACTTTGTTTCGTGAGAGCCAAGACTCCTAATCTCAAAAAACAACCATATACTTTCGTGAATATAGTTATTTTGGTGACATGATATGATATGTGGTATTATACTGATATGGTTCATATCTAAACGTGTGCCCTACCAGTATGGTTATTCTCGTGAATTATGCTGAATGCTGAATTATAGTAATATTGTTAAATTACAGACATTGAGGTGATTCACCAACCTTCCCTGCCTCTGATTCCAAAGAGGCCCTGGGTTTCTCATTGCAGGCCACCTGCGCCCGACACCGTGGTCCAAGTCGAAGATGACCCTTCCTTCAGAGCACCGTGGCTGCGGGGTTGTCTCCTCAAAAAAAACATGGGGAACATGATGATAAACTTGTGATGAACGCGTACATTGCCGCTTTTCAACGTTTTCTGACAAGTCCACATTCTGGAGCAGGGGGTGGTTTCAAACATAGAAATGGGAATGCGAACTCTAGTTACAGTTACATATATATATATATATATACTGAGTCTCGCGCTATATATACAGTATACATATATATATACATACAGTATATATATATATATATATTCATAACACACACATATATATATATATGATATGTGTATCTGTATATTACCACAAAGAAGCACATTTGCCAGATAGATAGATAGATAGATAGAAAGAAAAATAGATAGATAGAAATAGACAGATTGATACATAGAGATAGATATAAATGGATCCATGGATCAATGGATTGATGGATGGATATGGATTTGGATTTGGATATGGATATGGATGGATAGATGGATCGATGGATAGATAGATCGATAGATAGACAGGTAGATAGATACATGGGGTTTCCACCAGTTCCACCTGCACATCCACACAGATCCCTAACTCCCAGGTTCTGTTTCAGCGCCGCCATGTTCCTCCCAGGTATGGGTGCAGCACTAAGATGTCGCACCTTATAACGATCCCAACCGCCCAGGCGGCCCAGGCGGCATCCGTTTGAAAAACTCCAGCTGAGGATCCAATCATGGGGCCGACAAGAAAAGATGTGTCCGGCAGTGCCATGAACATTTCCGGTTGAACATGGATCAAAAATGGTTAAACCATTAATTAAACTAGCAACTGGGCTGGCAAGTAGGACAAAGGTATTACAGTAAGTTCTGACCCGGACTAATTTTTGATCTGGAACAGTTTATTGGGTTCATATGTAGTGTCGTTTTGTTTATATAACTATGACAAGGAGGAACATCGTTGCAGTATGCAAATGGTATTTCAGATAAACCATGCAGTGACTGGATTTATTCACGGGAAAATTCAAACCGCCTGGGGCCACTGCTCAGGCTTCCCCTGATGCTGCGCAGCTAGGGGAGCGCTAAGAATCCAGTCGGACACTGAACCACAAGCAGATGAAGATATCACCACACAATACCACAGATGTATCATGATGTATCAGATGTTGAGTAAGGTGAATCATCCTAAGAACGACTTGCTTCCAGTTCAGGAATTATTGGTATACAGTATATATATATATACACTGTATATATATATACACGTATTTGTATATATGTTATTTTGTCAACACATGTAAACTTAGTATGTTTAATTTGGACGATCCCGGCCCCAAGTCAAGACTGGGTCAAATCCTTCCCGCAGATTCCGCAGATACACGACTTTCACAACCAGAAGTGGAGAACAGTAAAGCCCGTGTTCGAAGTTCTGTAGTCCGTGTCAAGACAGATCGACAGAAGGGCCCCGCGTGGTCCAAACACCGAACCAAAACGCCTTGCGAGGTGCACAAAGCACGGTAAGCCTGCTATGTCAGCGCCATGCCAATGACTTCTCTTTAATGATTACATTGTTTAATAATCAACAAAGCCTTGGCGGTAGCGGTGCTGAATATAATTGAATATTCCTTGCTGTACTTGTTCCTGATTGTTTGATATTGTTTGCTCCTTGCCTTCAGTTTCAACTGGGAAAGATCATTTGGTTGTTTGGCAGAGCTCGCCCATTCCCAGAGATTGGGTCTGAAGCAATTCAGTCAATCCTGTTGGCCCCTGGGCCCCATAATTTCGACTGGAACTCGTTTTGAGAAATCAATTGTTTGATAGGTTGTTTTTGGTATGCGTTTGATGCGCCGCCCTTGGAAGGGTTCCTACTCTCTAGGGAACAAACGTATCCACTTTTTTTGTGGAAAAAATGCTTTTTTGGATACGTTAGCTGCTGTGAACATAGGCTATGATAAATGCCCTATACTTGAGACATGTTAGTTGAAAATCCAGAATGGACATGTTAGTGGAAAAGTTGTCCCCCCCTCTGGGGGTTCCCGGGAAACTGCCAGAAGACTACCGCCCCGGACGCCCCAGCATCTTTATTTCCAGTCCCGCATTGATAACAAAACGGTGGAGAAAAAAGGGGCCCCAACTCCTTCCGGAAGAGCGCATCATAGATGATGCTCGTGGGTGGGCAGGAAGATTGGGGGTGCATTCCAAAAACCAGCTGCATTTACTAAGGGTTGGATGACTGGCCATGGAAAGCGTCCACTTAACGTGTCCGTGTTGTTCAGAGGAAGTGGTTTTGAGATATGTGAGTGGTTATTCGCTGAACCTATCCCCCAAAAATAGCGAACATATCCCAGATCAGGGTCGAAATCCAAGGGCCCCAATTGCAGGAACTGAGACATGTTAGCTGTTATTGGGTCAATGGTCCCAAAAAAAGTTGCAATGCATTCCCCAGGAAAACGCCGGTACAGAGTGGACATGTTAGTTGATACCTGAAACGGTAGCCCGAGACACGTTTGTTCCCGGGAGTGTAATTTTTAGATGTGCCATTCACGATCCCTTGGAAGGGCTGCAAATTTGAAAGATGAAGTTTGCGAAAATGAGGGTTCAAGAATTGAATTTAGGGGTTGGATATCTTAAGGTTCCTGCACGATGCGTTACGTAGTTAACATGTTGCACATGCTCTCTTATGGTCAACAGGGAGGTGAGGCGTAATTCCCCAGTATTTAGGGGCCCTGGACCAAAGCTGGAAAGCTAGAACACTTGTGGTCACACAGGCGGAGCGCAGCACCTTTTTACTGCAGCTATGCTAGCAAGTCTTGAGCCATATTTGGTCGTGGTCGGCTTTGCCGAAAGCACTTTGGCACTGATGCTTCAAGAGGTGAAGAAAAATGGATGGATGATCTGGTGGATGTTGGCATGGGAAACTTGAAAATCATTAATCCTATAATGTTTTTTTCCCAGCCTGGAAGAACAAAATTGATTCACTGCGCAGGCGAAATGCATTTTTTTGATTTTTTTTTGAACTTGAGTCACACGCCTGCCAATCGACATGAATGTCCATGTTGCAAACATTTATTGACAAGTGCCACAAATACCAGCATTTTGTCTCTTAGCCTCGAAAATCTCAATTTCAAATTTGTCACCCTTACAAGGGCGGCGAGTCAACCGGTTGCCTTGTTTTTGTGTTTTTGTAGAATTTTAATGTTTTTTTTAGAGTAATTCTCTGTGGTTTCGCAACAGCGGCACATCACTGTCAGAAGTATTGACGAAAACATTGCAAAAAATATGCACACAGCAATGCATCACTCGACAACACAACAGCTTGATCATGATGTATGCCTGCCAAGCCATGATGATTTCCCACTGCATTGGTTTCAAGTTGCAGCAATATATTTTCAATTTTCAAAGTCTTCGCCAGGAATCAAAGATCCGCCCAATGGATTCATGATTTATACATTGCACACGTGATGCAATGCCAAGAGGGGTCCGAAGTTGAAAAGTTGAGATCCACAGCATTTTTTCTGAAGATGTCATTTTTTGGCGCGGCGGCAGGGTGCGATGCGTTTTTAAGCATGGCAACAAACTTCGCCATGGCAATGGTCTGAAACCTGCAGATCCTGGAGATCTCTTGGCCTCTTGGCCCCCCTTTTTTTTGGGCCTTGGATCCAAGAAGTGTTAAGGCGTTACATTTGGCCGTCATGAGCCGTGTCCGCCAGGCATTTCGGAAATTGTAGCCTTCATATTGGCATACGTGTGGAAACATCTGAATTTAATTGATTGTAATACCATATATGTAGAATATAATATATATATATACACATTATAGATAGTAACACAAACAATATATATATATACTTACACATTTTTGGTTTATATATATATATATCATTATTATTTTTTGATTATTATTATTGTTACTATAATATATATATATATATGCACATTAGTATTGAACTGTATATATATATATGTATGTACCCAAGGGCTTGGTCACTGATGAGGTTTGCTGGAAACGTGTCAAAATACCATGGCGAAATGGACATGTGTCAAAATACCTGCGGAAACCCACTAGTTCCAAGCATTTCTTAATGTTGTATCCAAACACAAAAAATGTGTATCTCGTAATTGCAGTGGGGAAAGGAAAAACAAATAAAAATGATATGCCATGATCATGATCCTATGTGATGCACACGACGGAGCAAAACAAATCGTCCGTAAATATCAACATATTTATTTAAAAAAAATAAAGACATGAAAAATCGTCATGTTCCCAAAGTAAAATGCATTTTTTCTCAATTTCACACATGATGATCTAACTTCTCTTGACCAACCTACCCCCACTAGCGTGTATATATATATATATATGCACACGCCACATTATATTTGACATTACATTACATTGACATCACACTACATTGCAGTTCATTTTTGCATAGTGGGATTGAAATCGCATGAGATGAGCCTCGCTTCCAGTCGTGCTCAACGAGTTATAGATCATCAGAGAAGAAACGTGTGGAGTTCAAGCATCGCTGACGGAATGCCAGAAGCGATTGGAGATGAAATACCTCGAGCATTCACGGGCACCACCCTCCAAATGGAGAGAATAAAAGTGCCATCGAAGTCAAAGGCAGCGGAAAAATATGATGCCTGACGCAGGGTTCCATTGGAAGGTTCTGGTGAATCTATTCCCTGAAATGTCAATCCTGAAGCCAGAAGCGCCAATAATGGGTTTGAATAGGAGAATGGGTCAAAATTGAACATCCCCAAACTCCAAATTGGGTAAAACACGTCTTAAAAAATTGTCAGATTTGGATGGTCACTGGGGCATTGATTTCACCCAAGAATTTCCTGGAGCAGTCTCCAAGTCCGAAGCTTCCTCCGAGATACCTGCAATCAGCAATGCGTAGTTGGACCTTGCCATCAGGTCTTGTCATGTCTTGTCACAGGGTTGCTGGATGTATCTGGTGGGTTCGGTTTGTTTCGTTTTCCCAATGCCTGGGATGATCATACCGCAGGGAGGTTCAAGCCAAAGGTTTGGGCCCGTCGCTGCTGAAAAGTTGCAGTGATCCAAACAGCCCGAGACGGGGTGTTGGCACGCGTAGGGGCGTAGCTGGGTGGAACTGACCTTGAGATGTCAGCAGATATGAGAAGTCTTGAAGCCTCCAGCTGACCATGCTGTCATCACTCTTACCCTAGAACATCCTAAGGCAGAAACAGTGCCCTTGCACGGCCCATTTCACTGTACAAAAAGGGATCCCGAGTCGGTGAACTGAGAGGCTCTCTCACCCAAAAAGAGACATCAGTAGTTTAAATTGTCAAATCCTCTTTTTCGGATATTTTCGGATGATGTTGATTATTAGCTCTTTTTGAAGGGTAAGCCGTTCAGAAGTTGACTCAGCCCCAGACTACCGGGGGGGTTTTGCAGCTTTGTGCCGACTGGGATCCCCAAACCGATGTGCGGGTTAATGCGCCCGGGTTGAAGATTGATCAGGCCAGAGATGGTGGGTGATGTTTTGCACTTCAACCGGCCATTCATTTTGGGAGAACCAGTCAGGATAGATTGTTACATCTCAAATCTCACTCAATGGGGGACTAAAGCAGCCATAAGCAGCCCACTTACCCTCTGCTGGTTGAGTTTTGATTGTGGTGGTGGTTGCTGCTGATGATCATGTTGCTCTGCCAGGGCTACGGGAGCAATGCGCCGGCCATGGTTGGCCTTGTTATTTCCATTGGTTCGAGCACAGGAGTGAGACGCGAAGGGTGGGTTTTCTTGTGGCTCAATGCTTGTCCACCGTAAAGAACGGATGTGTTGCAGCATAAGTCAGAGCTTCCTATATTAATTTCAATGGGTACGCAACGTGGAAGCGAAAATCAGCAGATGAACATCATGTTTGCAGACACATGACCATTTCATACCATTCCCTCAAGACTGCTCCTTTCTCCTTTGTCATGGTCGGTGCTCTCCTGATTGTTGTTGGGAAGCCCATTGTTTATTGTCCTCCTGCCAAAAGTATTTGTTTGTTTTCCATCCTTTTACGGTATAGTAGGGACGGTGGAGAATTGCGGATATCTACCGAACTTTGGCACTAAATGAAGCCTTTCCACTCCTCGAAGATGTTG